CACATGAGACTGCGGCGCGAATGTTTTCCCGTTAAATTTTGCTATCGGGCCACGACGGACGGATACACACAATCTTATTAGGGAGTTTTCGTAGACCGCGCTGCCTCCTCCGCTAAGCGTTCCGCAACGAAGAAGTTGATAGTGCGCCTGCGCGCCGATAGCCTTGACTATGGAGTTCCCGCTATCGTAGCGGGTTGCGGAGGGCCTTGCGGGACGGCGAAAACGATCTACGAAAACTCCCTATTATATGACATCCCAAAAAATACCATCGGATTTAAAACACTGGCAAGGTGGCGCAAGCCGCCGCCCTATTCACAGGGTATGGCCCCACGCATTCCTCCGTCCATCCAGCTTCCCCGTGGTCGGCTGACTCCTGTCCGCGTGCTGGACGTCCGCCTGAGCGAGCTGCAGGGCGCCGACGTGCACCTGACCGGCCCGTGGCCCTACGCGCCCATCGTGTCCGGCACCGTCAACATGGTCCTGCGCAGCTTTCCGGACATGGTCAGGGACATCGTGGCCAGGCCACTGAGGGACGCCCTTCAGGAGTACTTGGACCAGCAGCAGCAGCGCCTCTAGGAGGCAACGGCAGAAGCCTCTTATGGGGGTGACCATATTTATGCACCTGCACACTCCAAAACAAGACTACGCTCACTTTCGGGCTGACCAGGGAGACAGCCAATCACGACAGAGCAACGCTAGCCGGAATAACCAAAGCATGTGTACTAGAATTTTGACTTCATCACATTGAGATCGGCTGTTCCTTCTGTCCAATGGGGGGTTCAAATGCTGAGTAGCCGCCGTGTGACACCGATGACGTCCCATGGAGGCCGGCAGTGGAGGATTTTCGCAGGCCTTGATCATTCTAGGTGGCGTTGGAAGGAGACAGCCGATGGCGGCGAGCAATAGGAGGATTTCATTCGACGGCGGTTGCATGCGATCATCCGACACCCACAGCACTAACTTCTTTTCCTCTCCTCGCGGCGGCTACTAACCGCCTGTGGACTTTCCGCGCAATTCGTCGGTTGACCAACGGCCTGCTGGGAGCACGTGATCTTAACTCGACTACCTCCCCTTTCGCTTTCTTCTGTCTCTCTTTTTTTTTCCCGCGGAATCTCAGGTGGCGGGTTCGATTACCGCCAAGGTGTCCGCAATCCATGCGCCGAGAGAGTGAGGGAGAGGAGGAAACGAGAGAGCGCGGGGACGTTAGAACGCCGAGCGCTGGTTGGTGCGATTAGAGGGTAGGCCTAAAGCTAGCCGGCCTTTTTCTCCGTTCCACTCGTCGAATGCGTTCGAATGCGAGAGCCAACGCGTTCGACGAGTGCGGTGGAGACAAAGGCGGCTAGTTTTAGGCCTACCCACTAATCGAACCAACCAGAGCTCCGCGTTCTGACGTCATCGCGCGCTTTTGTTTCTCCTCTCCCTCACTTTCTCGGCGCTAATTGGAGGCTTATTGCAGAGAAGGTGCTGTGGTAACCGAAATATCGGTTGCACGTCAAAAAGATTACCATGGCGGTCCAAATTCACCCTCCGCCCTCCGCTGGGGCGTCATAGATACCCTTTGTTGCTTGGTCACGTATAACCCCGAACTTTATTTCACTTTGTTTTCGTTTTTCCACACAAAAAACACAGCTGTAAACTTAATCCATTCTTTTTTTCTTCAATACAGACTCACACTCACTCACATCCGAGCTATGGTTAGGAAACATCGTAACCTAAAGCTTTGCAAAAGGAAAAATGAAATAACGAACAGGACAAAATGTTTATTTTATTCCCTCTTATCTCGGTGTAAAGTATGATCGAACGTCGTGCTCATTGGCCCGAATGGTTTTTCTTTTTGCTCTATTCATATTCGGAGCCTCGTAATTTGTTGGGATGTTTCAGTCGTTCGCCGCTATTTGCTGTCTTCGTGTTCTGCGGGGAAGTGAACTCGCAAAATGTTCTCGAAGGCCAGCATCTGTACGACCCTACACGATACTTATACTCCAAAACGTGGCGCTTAAAACGAACAACTGACTATCGCAAGCACAATTTTTTTTTTCTTGAATGTGTATACGTCTGGCTCGGTTAACGTACAGGTGAAATTCACCGGACGCCATATCTCAGCGCGTTGTTCAGAGCGCATGCTCACAACTTTAGTTTGTTGCAGGTTCAGGTGAGGAGGAAAGGCTCCTCCCACAAAACCCTCCACCCTCTCCACTTTAGCGGAGCTAACGCTGAAGAGGAAGCGGGTAGAGGGCAGGAAGCAGAAAGCTTTGTGGCAGCGCTCGTCCCGCCATCTTATAAATCTGCAAGGGAATACAGCTCTCTTTTATCGTCTACCGTGGCAGACGACAAGTGGGAGCTAGGTCTGAGGATCTGGGCGCACATGATGATTCACTTTTGATGGCGTCCATCGAATCGCAGTGTCGTCTGCGGTCGGATATAAAGTGATCCGAAGTAATTAAGAAGTAATGAAATAATTAATAAATAGACACAGAGTTGGTAATTATATTAAAAAAAGACAAAGTAACTCAGCCCTAAAAAGGGGGATAAGCCCGGGCATCTACTTTACCGTGAGACACAATCCACGTAGATGAATGCGTGGCGGTTGTTCGCTTTGAGTCGGGTGGTGACCTGCGCCACTTAGCGGCCTCGCAACTCCAGGAAAGCGGCGCCACTCGCCGGAGAGGACACGAAGTAGCGAATCGGGGAGATACCGCCTATCTGAGTACGGAAGCAAAAACTGGAGCAGCCTGGCGGCCGAAAACGTGAAAACTACAAGAGGAGATCAAATGCACGGCGTTGCAGTTGCGAATGGGAAGTAGCCAATCGCTGTGGATGATCTGCGGAGCAAGTATCGGGGAATTACGAGACGCGAACAATTCTTCAACTAAGATTAAAGCGCGCGATGTGCCACTGAAACATAACATTGTACAGGCGCGCATACTTTCTGCTTCATATCGTAGACATAGTTTTACCAGTTCAAAACGCTATTTCGGCGTTGTTGTTCCTCGAGAGAGTTTTAGCATATCGTTCCGATGACTCGAATACCGATACTCGCCACCCCGCCACCACCTTTGCGCATGCGTCGTGTCAGGGCTGTCAGCACGATCTACTAAAACACTCTATTAAAGCGTTTTTGGTAGATCGTTCCGATACTTCCGATAACGATAACTTAAAACAATACGATGCATGCGTAAAGCCGGCGGCCGTGTATCGGGTATCGTTATTGGAGCCACTTGAACGACCCACTAAAACTTTAAGCCGCAGTCATTCTGCTCCTACATCGTATACAAAAGACACGGTGTCTACTGCAGATATGGTGACAGAATCGCCTGAGGACACGCCTTGAGGGTGTTCGAATTAAGCGGGTTTTCTTCCAACAAGTCTGCACGCAGTTTTCTTTTTATGCCCAAGGTGACGGGACCGCAATAGAGGAGGGAAACACGCCCCGGACCATGTCTGCATGCAGACTGTCTTTTGTGTTATGTATTCTGACCGCGGCTTTAGGGTGGATGAGGGAGACGTCCGACTTTGGCCGTCGTCCCGCAATTTTTCATCGAGAACACAAAAGTGAACTGTGAAAACCAGCCTGACTGGACCTGTGAAGCGTACTTCAAAGAAAATGTTTACCTTGATACATCAAATCGCCAATTTCGATTTCTTCAACCTTTGCATTGCAAATTCAATTCCATGGAGGTGATATGCGTGTCTGGCAGTCTGTGTGCCATAATTGTCGATTGAATTGTTCGCTTATTTGATTTGCATTTTGTGTGATCGCTAGCGATGGTTTCGAGTAACGAAGGTACAAGGGCGGGTGTCGGAGTTTTTTTCGGTTGTAAATAAACATTTTTATGACATTGTTTGAAAACTGCGCATTTCGTCTTTTTTCCAAGTATTTTCTTAAAATTCCACTGTACAAGCGAACAAGTCTGAAGCTCCGCTCGTTTCAGTGATGCGTCGTCATTTGTTTCCTAGGGCGGCACGAGGTATGGGTCTTGTTCACTGGCGCACCTAGCTGACACTACTTGTTAGACAACTACGAACAGATCAAGAAGCTTTGTAATGTCCACCGTGAACAGGAGTCGTCAGAAAACACGACAAGCCCAAGAGGCAGGCTTCCTTCTGACGTCGCTTCTATATTATCGGGGGCAAGACCGCGGCCGGGCAAGAGCACGGTTTTTTTTGCTCTCGCTGCACAGCAATGGGATTTTTTTCTACCACAGAGATTGGGGGGGGGGGGGGGGGGGGGGGGAAGGGGGGGGAGGGAGGGGGAAGATGGCACAAGTCTTTTTAGTGCTGCCTGGAGACCCCTGGACATCTGCTCCGACCACAGTTATTAAAGATGTGTGCCAGTATACGCATCTTAAACGACGAGTCCCTGCCGGCAGGCGGCCTCCTCAAGGACTGTAGGTCTAATTAGTTTGTAAATACTATCAATTCGACCCCGAAGCGAATAGGCCAGCATGATGGTGTTAGGGTGCCTCTTTAGGAAGAGTTAAAGCGCTGTAGAAGGAGTGTGGACGTAGCGACCCCGCCGAGCTGCGGTGGGATGGAGGAACTACCCCCTGTGTGAAGGCCGAAAGTAAGCGCGTCTTTTGCTGTAGACTGTATGCGGCAAGACAAATTCAAAGATTACCTTCCTTGCAGTGTCACGTCCATGTCATCGGAAAGCAAGGCTAACAAAATCTGAGGCCTTATTCCTTATGAGGTAACTTCAGTACCATCGGAAAGCAAAACGAGCTCCAGAGGTGGCTTACGAATTTACTTCTGTATTATCAGAAGGCGACAAACTCCAGAGGCCGTCCTGATGACGTCACTTTCGTACCATCGGAAAGCAACCGATATCTCTAGTGGCCTTTTTCCCTGCAACGATACTTCCGCATAATCGAAAGGAAAGACAACCTCCCGAGGCCGCTCTCCGTGTGGCGTGACTTCCTTAATAACTACACTGTTGCCGATCGAGTCCGATCGTTGCACCACTTTCGCATGCAAACATTTCTTTATTGTTCTTCGAGCACCTATGCTGTGAACATGCCGTACACCTGGAGGTTTGCCGACGGGGAGCTGCCGGGGTCCAGCGGCTGCAGCCGAGGACACCGGTCCCCCAGGGGCTGCCCGGGCGTGTAGACGTACTGGTACGAATCCGTGCCTCCCATCCACGTGGGTAGCTTGTCGCAGTCGATGTAGCGCGTGGCGTCGCCGGCCGTCACGTTGCGCACCCTCTCCACAGCCTCGACGGGCAGGAGACTCCGGCAGATCCGCCACAGGCCGAGCAGGAGCCTCGGAGGCTCCCAGAACAGGACATAGCCCAGGGACCTGGGACGGTGGAGGAAGCGAACTAACCTCGCTGGACTTTGGTCGCCCGTTGATCGAGCGTTCTGTACTCCGTTTTGCGTAGATAGAAGAGAGGGTACTTCTTAAATCATGGGAAACATGTGCATTTTAATGGCGGACTTCTTCTGCGGTGATCGGTTTCAAGTCTGCATGCTCCGCCTTTTTTGCGGGGCGAGGAGAAAAGCAGGAGGAAAGGCGGAGGCGTTTGCAGACAGTCAAGGCTTTCGTCACCTGCTTACAACGCATACTGCAAATGCGGCCCATAAACAGGCTCTCTAGAGGCCGCGCTGGCACGCTGGCGCCATCTATGTGCTGACCACTGCATTTCACTAGATTTATAACCTCGCCAAAAAATGTTCAAACGAAAAGCAAAAAAAAAAAAAAAAAAAAAAAGCATTCTTTATGAGGAGTGAATGCGAAAGCATGCAAGCCGCTCGTCCACACCCTTTTTCGTCTGCTGCGTACATTTCGTCGCCGGTCAGTGCGTGTGCTCCCCTGGGCAAGGTGACCTTGGACGCTCCGTGCCCAGGGGAACAACGGCGCGCTGATGGACACGCAGCGCCATGGGGTGAGCGGTCATGGAAACGGACGAGCGCAGCGGCCAATCGGAGCCCTGTCGACGCGCGCGCGCCAGCCAATGGAACCGAAGGAAACTAGGTGCCGTTTCCGCGCTTCAGACTGATAACGTCAGCTTGCTTCATGAGACAGTTAATGCTTTCGCATTAAAAGGAATCGCGAAAATATTGCGGGCAGACACTGAAAAAAAGGAAGAAACAAGACAGCGTGGGAACGCCGGAACACTGCGCTCTGACTAGAATAATTAGTAGGTAGAGGCAAAGCTAGCTAGTGCATTTGTCACGACGAGTGCAGCGGAGACAAAGCCTGTAGCTATTACCCACTAATCGTCCCAGTCAAAAATCGGCGTTCTGGCTCTCATTTCCTCCTGCTTCAGTTTCATGCTCGCACGGGATAAATACCGGGATGAGCGCACTAAATGGTACCGCCGTCAGACGGGCTGATCTATTGCATTCACTTCAACCAAGCGGCCTTCAGCTCGCCGAATGTAGTGCTTCGGTGCCACACGGGATAAATTAGTATCAGTCGGAAATGATGGCAATAACAATGTTTAAAGCAGTATTAGATGGTGCAGGTATTAAAGTCAAGGCATACATGTCTCAGCAATATTTAGTCTTTTTATAAAAACACGTTACGAGACAACGTTTCGTTCATTGTGTGTGCCTATTTTGTCGTATGTTGATATCTTCGTAGTCACTTATCTTTATATTTATTTAGTTTTGTGGTTGTTTTTTCACGGTGCATTCCATCTTGCTAACTCTAAGGGGGCAGAGACGTTGTCAAGTCGCTACAGCGGCTTTCTTCGCTGTCCCCTACTTTGTTGGAAAAAATAAAGTTAATATTTTTATCTCAAATTTAATTGAAGGGCAAGTTGGTTGAACATCTAGGTTGAACACCAAAGTTCTGAAGCGGTTCCGTGACAAAAACACTAGAAAAATGTACGAGTAAGTCCAAACGCAACTTGGACCTCGGCACCACCTATGAGCAATAAAAAAAAGATCAGCACCATGAGCACTACCTATGAACAATAAAATCGGTATCATCAGCACCACCAGAGCTTCGCCCCAATCAACATTATTCACCACTTGGAGATGCGTCCATTTTTTCCCCCTAAAGCCGGGGTCACACTGCGTATCCCCCATCATACAAAAGACGGTCTGCAAAAAGATTCAAACTCGAGTCACCATGAGCTCTGAGCTTCGAATGCCTCACGGCAACGAGTTCAAGGAGACACTTGGCACGCGGCATTTGAACCACGGACATCGTGGTGACTGATATCTGCAGATGGTTTTTTGCATAATGTATAAGCAGTATGACCCCGGCTTAAAGGTACTACTAGTTGGAGCAAACACCGCCATATGAACCACGAAAATTGCGTCATAAATACCAGAATATCAAAAGGAGGACAACCCGGACTGCATTATATCATACCTCGTGCTCAGGCTCAAAAAGCTACGTCAAACAACGTGCGGAAAATTAAAAAAAAAAAGAAATTGAAGAATGATTTTTTTTTTATTTAGGGAAATTTGAATTTTTTTATATACGGAGCTAATTTTTTCTGGAGTTTTATGCGCACAACAGATTGCAGTCAAATATATCAAAAGGCGCGTTTGTATCTAGCCGCCACATGTCCAGATGGATATTTCAAACTAAATAAGCGTCACAACTTGTCTATCTATTTCCCCAGAGCAGCTGTTCACCGTTCTACCATAATACACAAAAATTTGCAAGTAGAAGTTGCAGTAACTCGATGTAACAAGATGTTTTCTCGGACCCTTCTCCCTCGCATCATGCTGTCGATGACTGGATTGAGAGCGCCTCACCGCGGAGAGACGCCGCCTCCGTCTATTTTCCCGATTACTCCCTCTCCGCACGAGAAGAAGACCGGAGAAGCGTACGCGCGCCTCGGGATCTCGGAGGCCACAATAGACCATTTGCAGTCCTCCCAAGCGCCCCGGCGCGCGCGCGAGGAATCTTGGGATCGGTGTTCTGTCGGCCCCCGTCGTCTGGCTGCTCTCCGTTGGAATCGCATCACCTCGCTCTAGACATACTTTTCATCTTCGTTGTTTATACTTAATAATCCTCTTTTTTATCTACTCCAGTGTATTTTTCTTGTTCATAAGTGTATCTATTTCGTTCAGCGCTTTGTATTTCTTCTGTATATTACGTGTTTTTGTGCATATTCCATCGTTTTCGACGCGGCCGTCGACGGACACCACGCCGCTTCGTTCGCCGCTCCCGGGGTGAGTACTGACTGTTGCCGTTACGCTCTATCCCGCTCCTAGGCCGTTCATTTAACTCGTGTGCGGTCGCGAGAGAGCAGTTTCGAACATCACTACAAATGTCACCGCTGTAAGCAGAGAAATAAAGTAGTCATCACGAAGCGAAGGCCGACATGCCTTCGCTTCGTGATGCGCTCGCCCTGTGAAATGTGAGCGTGGGATATCGAGTACTGCTTGCGTGCTCAACATTCGGGACGGTGCTTTGTCGTTGCGATCTTTTTGCCCTTCGGACGCTTGCGAAGCTGTACCAGCGGTCGGCGTGCCTCGGCAGCGCTCGTCAACAACCGTCCGCGCGGCGTCACTTTTCTCGCGTTCGCTGACCGTCCGCGAGCGCCGGTGATTCATCGTCGCGGCTGGTATGCGTATGTAGTACATCGCATAGCTTCACAATCGCTCTTAACAGCGGTTGTGAGTTGAGCGGGCCCTTAGCAAGCGAGTTATGTCAGCAACTGCAACTTTGAAACTGATGGTCACTTCACTTATTTATTTCACTATTCGAGATGTCAGCTGAATGTAGTATCTTCTTAGGTCACCCTCAGAAGCCACATGACGGGCGGTACAACCTGCTGTGTACCGGGCTGTGCCCACACCACTCTCACTGCCAAGCATGTGTCCTGGAATCGCTTTCCGAAGAACAGCCATCTACGCAACATTTGGGTACAGCGAATCAACAGGAAAGGTATTTACCATATTTTTTTACTTGTTATCTACACTTTCCTGACAATGATCAGGAAGGTACAGTGTGTGTACTGTCCGACGTGGCCCAAGTCATTTTACCCATATGTACAACATACCTGCGAAACACATTTTTTTTAAAAATAAAAATAGCATTCATTATTTTTGACCTATAAGTGCAACATACGACTGAAACAAAAAAGACAATCTCAAAGAATCCCAGATGTTGCATGTGCCCTTTTCACTCTCTTGGCCACTTCCACCTGCACCGACATACCAATATTTGATTGCATCGCAGGAATGTCGCTTCATCTCACTACCCTACAGCTAAAGCAAAGATACTCTCACAGTGCTTCTATCATTTTCAGCGTGCATCCACTCCAGGTTTGTTAGGCATAAACTATGTGCTTGTTCTTAGTGCCCGCTGCACAATGGTACTGGAAGTGTTTAGAAGGCGGTGGGGTGACGATGGGGGAGGAGGAGAACTGAATTCTACCCCCTTGCCCGGATAGTTTACTGACGCCCCTGTTCAGACGCCACGGCTGCTGCATCCATTCTTACCACTGAGATTGAGTTGCACTTGCTCCAAAGTTGAATGGGTGAATCTTAATATGGTGCTAACTGCTTCTTTTGCATGCAGGTACCACTGGACGGTTCTCTCTGTGGACGCCAACCTCTGACAGCAGAATATGCGGCGCTCATTTTAACGAAACTGGGAGAAAGAAGTACGAGGACAAAGCTCCCCGGTTTTTTCCAACCAGGACATTTCCGAAGTGTATGTTATTTGCCTATTTTTGTTTCTTTCTGCAATAGTTGTTTTTCCCTGCTTATATTCTTGCTTGTGATCACTGTATACATGGGTCGTTTCTCACGTGAGCTACGTCACTGCTGGTGGCGTCTGGTGATTTGTGGACAGCGGTGCTACCCAGTGAGCATGGCGAAATACGTGACCTACGGAAGCAATCATCGCTCTCATAGAAAAAGACGGAGCTTCAAGCAATCGTAATGTCAGATTTTGTAGAGCTGCAGACATAATAACAATGTTTTGTCTGAATACATGAGATCTCTCAACGGCTAGACGACGCAAATGGACTGCAATCGAAAAGAGGTTTTGCGACGTGCGGTTAAGTAGCATCAAGGATATCACTGAAACTGAAAAAGTATAACATTCTCGTCCGTCATTAAATTTGCAGTGGGAATAGGTGGCATATAAACCTACTGACTGCCTTTTTCAAGGATTTGGCTTGGCTTAGCTAGCTTGCTGCTCAAGGCACCAGGGGATGTCGCTCTGCTGCCTTCATCTCTGATGGCCCCAAATGACAGCTTTTAATCCAGCTCTCTCGTTGTGGAAAGTAGTGAAGGCTCTGCATGTTTCCTGTCGTACATTGAAGTGCCAGCTCATCTCGACTCTAAATAACAGCAGTGTGTTTGAACGGTACCAGACGATGCTTCTTTATATTTCCGACTGCTCTATCTGACACAGTCGGTCACAATGCAAGAGGACTTCAGCGAGCTGGAAAACACTCTCTTAGCACATAGAAAAACATAGGAGAAAATGTACCAACATGAATTCTAGAAATATTTTGAGCGAAAACTGACGTCAGGTGCAAGGACTCTATAATTACTGTCCACCGTGTTTGCTTGACTAGGCAGCTTCCTAGTGACCATTCAAGCAGATAGAGTTGGACATGCCTTGTCAGGAGTTTGCGGTCGTAATATGCTTGAGCCAACTGCTTTGTAAGAAGTTGCAGCTGTGCATATCGTTCGTGTCACAAATGGAAACACATATGAATGCGGAAATATAATTATGTTTAATAAAGGGCCCTTTAGGCAAGTATGGACAGCCTAAGATGGCACCGAATATAGTCGATTTCACAGTAACATGGCAGGTGGCAGACTCTATAACCCCTGTGAACTGATTGAAGTGTTGAAGTCAAATGTATGTGACAGCTCTTTACTAGAGAAGTGTACTCTGATTGGCTCGCTTGGGACAAACCTTTTGTTGTGTGCCAAACTATGTTGAATAAGGATATAAACTTTGTTCCCTTCTTTTATACGCCGGTGGCTGTTGAATGCACTTCGTCTCAGAAAGAACTGCAACAATCGCTATTTGGCTACAACATTCCAGACCAGCTACCAAAGGGTAGAAACAGTGACCGCTATTGATCCAGCTGAGCTCTTGGTTGTTTGACATGTTATGTGCTCCGTACAGTGTAAGCTGTGCCCTGTGCTAGACAGAATTCCAGCCGGTATGTAATGCTTATAAAATAATTGCGTGAACAATTGCCTTATCCTTGCCTGCAGATGTTGCGGCCTGCCCAAAGGTCCCAAACATGATCTGCGCAAGGAAGCGCCATGCGCTGCAGCCGCTGCCGGCCTACTTTCTGTCGGACCTTGACCTGGCACAGACCGTGACCCTGCCTGCTAGCCAGGAGCCAGCACAACCCGGCAGCCCCTTGGCCTCCGCTGGTGCCCCTGACACTGATGATGTAATAGCTAGCGGTAAGCTCCTAACATTGAGCATCAGTGTTGCTCGTCTGTTTATTTGGCATCCCTGTCAACTGTGCAGCAGTCCCGATAGGTGCATGGAACACTTACATGCAGTACGTCGAACTTTACAAACTGTACTAACTCAGTCACCGCTGGCTATAGCACGCAAGTTGTGGCCGTTCCATACTCGCAGCACCATATGGCACGGTGCACTCTAAGATACCGCACATGCAAGGTACCCGCGGAGTTGTTCTTTCAGATTGCGGTCACACCCTCACTTCATTGTCTGCCAGGTACAAAGGAGATGCTGCCACAGCCCTGCTTGCATGTTATTTGCCTCAAGATCCAGATTGAAAAGTGGGGACACATGCTTTTGTTTATCCATTGTTTCCTACAAGACAAGCGGCGATTCTCTGGCGTCCACAAAAAAACCATCCCCACTTTTGTTATGGAGCACGGGCAAGGCTATGCATGCTCTTAGAATTCGCAGTTGACTCCAATGCATGCGCACGAACGCTGCACCGGAGCCTCTCAGGGCTTCGAGTTAGCGTCCGCAGCATTCTCCGTGCTCCAAGTAAGTGTAGAACAAAGCTTAGTTCCGCATTTCCCCGCAGCACCCCTGACGATCGGATCTCAAGGCGAATAGCCAGCATTCCCATTATAGCTCCTTCGTGTGGAACAGAGCAGCATTAAAGAGGTCATAAACCGACTCAGTTACTTCTGCTAAATGCTGCTGTCGCACAATAAAGCTTGAGAACAAGCAATATTCTGCTCTTCCTCACAGCCAGGTAAAATAATCACATGATTACTGTTAGGGGTTAGCTGCTACTGTTGGCGCAGTGATTAGACACAAGCCCAAGCCCCAATAGTTACCATGGCATTGATTGTAACCAAATAGTCAGGTGCTCACTCAGTGCTTGGGTCCAGTTCATAAGCCGTCTGTATTCAAGTGTCGTCACCCTGGTGTGAACCCTAGGCTTTCTCAACATTGTGATTTCTGACTGTAAATTAGCCTTCTATTCCTCAGAATATAACCTTGGCAGGGGAGCCTCTGGTTTGTGGTATATAGATTATTATATAGATTATATTTGTGCTACAGACGTCAGTATGCTTGTATGAGGTGCAGAACATCCAAATGCATATCGTTTCTTGGCCCCTTTAACATGTGATGCTTTTTTTGTATGGCACATGATATGCTATTTGGCAGAGCCAAGGCAATTACAAGGAGAAAGCCTAGTTTTTTGTTTTGATATTTGACTGCAAAAATGATGTGATATTTATTTTGCTATCTCCCCATCTGGCAGACCACCAGTACAGCATCACAGGATGTATCGATCAAGCCCTGCGTGATCGCATCAGGCAGCTAGAGGAGCTCGCTTCTGCAAACGAGAAACTGCGCAAGGACAACGACCGTCTACAGAAAGAAAATGAAGCTCTGCGGAAGAAAGTAGCCCATCTTGAGGAGATGTATGACAAAGCAGAGGAGGTCATCGATGCTACAATCCCCTTTCAGAACTTCACGCTCACAGCCGTGCAACAGGACCCAAAGAAACTGGCCTTCTACACGGGATTCGACTCCCTGGAGAGATTTCTCGCCTTTTACAAGTTTGTTCAGGCAGGTTATGAAGCTCACAAGGAAAGTCAAGGTCCGCAGAGAAGGTCACCTTATCTATCCATGGATGATCAGCTGCTGCTCGTGTTGTCCCGCCTGAGGGTGGGACTTTTGGAGCAGGACCTTGCATACCGGTTTCGTATCCACATCAGCACAGTCAGCCGGGTGTGGACATTCTGGATTGGTTACCTAGCGGACTACCTTGCTCAACTCAACTACTGGCCGTCGCGACAGGTTGTGAACAAGCACATGCCGGAGTGCTTCATCGAGGCGTATCCATCGACGAGAGTCATTCTGGATTGCACGGAAATCTTCATCGAGACACCTAGCGACTTCAGGGTGCAGAGTGATACCTACTCAAGCTACAAGTGCCACAACACTGCCAAGGGACTGCTGGGCATCACCCCCAATGGGTTCGTGTCGTTCGTGAGCGACCTTGCCCCTGGCCGCGTCTCTGACAAAGCCCTGACCGCATGTTCCGGGCTATGCAACCTTCTTGAGCCCGGAGACTCTGTCATGGCGGACAGAGGCTTTTTGATCACTGAAGAGGTCGAAGCTGCAGGGGCTAACCTGAACATTCCACCTTTCCTTGGGGGAAGGCTACAGCTCTCCCTGGAGGACGAAGCGAAAACTAGGGCGATTGCGAAGGTCCGGATCCACGTGGAACGAGTGATTGGACAAATGAAGTGTTTTCGAATCTTGAGGGGTACTTTCCCAAACAGTATGAGCAAGAGCCTGGACTCTATCTGGAAGGTCTGTGCTTTGCTGTGCAATTTCACGAGAGAGCCACTGCTCAGTCGAAGCTAGAGCTGCAGTCTTGTGGCTTCGTAGATGGTCGTGGAGAAAAAAGAGGCCATATCTCTCTATCTAGCTCACTTCAGCTCCGGCAAGTTTTTGTGCCCACACGCCCTCATGACCCATGACGACCATTAGCACCGACTACGGCCCTCGGGACTTTCCTCTACCCAACGAAATGGACTCACAACCCACCGAGGCCACGCTGGCTTCTCCCGCTGTCTGAAGCTTACCGCTCAATGCACCACCCACAGCCGGTGCAACCACTCCTGCCGTCACGTCGCTTCTTGATGCACCACTTGTTGCCGCGTGAATTCAACCTGCGGTCTTTACTCAGAATCCATTCTCCATCCTCGGCGACGATGATCCCGAAAGCAAGTTGTCGCCCCTCAACAACAGTTGCCACATCCGCACTGCCGCCAATGAAACGAAGCGTGCTCGTGGCATTTTTTTCTTCGGCGCCGCTGCGACTAAGCTTACCACCTCACCCCGGTGCATCCAACGTGACTCGAACCCTGACTCGTTCCCCCTGGAGGACGGATGGCATCCTGTCTCTCGCCGACGTAAGGCGGCCCCGCCCGCGGCGCCTCCAGCAGCATCGTTCTGCAGTGAGTTCTCCCACACTGTCATTCTACGGCCGGCCAAACCATGCCGCATCATGGACGGGGTCTTTCTTGCCATTGACTCTGCAGTTGCTGCACAGATAGACCTCAGGTCTCCTACACCATTGCAGCCCCCTACCAAGTGAGGTACCTCGACTGCAGTAATCAACTTGCAGTTGATGCTGCTTTGTCTCAAGTGTGCGATGCATTCCTCAATGTAACATACATCCCGATCGGCACTCTGCAGGTCTCCGTGCAAGGCTACGAGGCCATTCGCCGTGGCCAGGTTCGCGGATTCATAAAAAAAGTCTGGCGACCTGGATTCTGCGTCCTAAAAAACCTTCATTGCCGGAAATCTGCTATCCTCCAGGCCGGTCCTCTCACAAACTCTGGGTCGGCACTCATTACATTCGACGGCACCAGCCTCGCGTTGCCCAGTGCCCCAACAGCACCCAAGCCAACGGCACAACACAGCGTCGTCAGTTGCCTTCATCAACATCCAAAGAGAAGCCGGCGTCACCACCAGTGACGCCTGAAACTAGCTCCTGCTCAGCAAGCTGTGCTGTTATCTGCGCCCAAAGCCCTCATCGCAGCACCGAGGTCTGCGAAGCAGAAGACTGACTCCCGCCCGGTGCTCGCCACAAAACTCCTAACGCCGGCACACAACATCACCGCCGACCTCACACAAGTCCCAACATCAGAACCGCCTCGGACCACCTTCGCAGAATCAGCGAGAGCTGTCAACAGCACTAGTGAGACGCCTGCCCTACTTCCGTCAGGGTCAGACTTTACTGGCTTGCAACAACAAATCACCCTTTTCACAAAACAAATGCTGGCAGCCACGCAGCGAATTCCGACGATGCAAAACTCGCTGTTTACTCTCGTGGATACCTGCACCCGTGCAGTAATCGGGCGCCTCGCGATGCAGGGCATCATTCCGTTCGGCGGCCCCCCACTATCACCACGCAAACATGGTTAGCGCCCCCAGGATTGTTCAGTGGAACTGTTGCTCGCTTAAACAGAAGAAGGCAGACTTCATCGAAAAATTTTATCTTCACTCGTCATCCGACATGGCCGCTGCGTTTGCTCTACAAGAAATCAACGGCCCCCTCCCTTCTTTGCCACAGTACGATGGACTTGCTCCGAACATTGAGACTAGTGCCCCCTTGCCTTGGATTCGTTCCGCCCTGTACGTTCATCGATCAGTGTGCTTCACTCTTCTCGACACCTCACAGAGGTGCTCTGCAATGACCAGCGTTACGGGTTGCCGCCAATTCCTCAACGGCCCGTTTTTCTCTTCTCTGTCTATGTGGCTCCAGACACATCGCTAAACCGCTGGACAAGGCAGCCGCTAAACATCCCTTTTTTTAAGCACTTCGCCCGTCTTTATCCAAAAGACGACGTTCCCGTTTGCGGTGATCTTAATGCCAAACACACGCATGGGGCTACGACATTGACCTTCCCCACGGCACGCGGCTTCTTGCAGACCTCACAGGGCTGAAACTTTCGTTCCTCAACATCCCAGACACCCCCACACGTATCAAACAATCCTCCCAACAGCAGGACACCTGCCCCGACTTTACCTGTGCTCGTTACCCTCGACGCTGGAGATGGCATGTCGCCGGCGACCGCCTCGGCGGTGATCACCTCCCCATTATTTTACGCTACGACTTCCTATCCGCAACCCTATCTCACTGTCGCGCCTGCTGCGACACATTCTTCACTAAGTGGGACAACTTCCGAGCAGCTCTTTCTTCTGTCATGGAACTTGCTGGCTTTTCCGACATTATACAAGCTATCCAGTCCGCCCACAAGTCTGCCACAAAGCGGCTAACCGTACCGGACGATGCCGCTTTGACGAGCATTTACTTACTGGACCGCCGCATTCACCTGTTGGCCTGTTACCGCCGTTCTCGCAGACCACGACGACTCCTCAAACCTTCACATAAACTCCAAAAGACTATCTCGTGCTACACTTCGGAACTCGCTTCCAACTGCTGGACTTCCCTGTGCAGATCCATCTCCGGCAATAGCCATCTTTCGAAAGTTTGAAGGCTCCTCCGTTCTCTCCTCGGGGACCACAAACCTAGGCAATTTGCTGCCACTGTTGCCCTTCGCAAAGGTGTCTCTCCCGAGGAGCTAGCTGAACGGGCCTCGGACGTCTTTTTTCCGCAACCAGCGCAACATGACTCTGGATGCTACACTTGTGTTCACCCTGTCACCAAGCTCTTGGGATGGATTGCCCGTTCACCCTCCACTCGCAGTGCACCTGGCCC